GAGACACTGATCGGCGGATAGCATCGGAAGACCAGACTTTTTAGACCCGATAAACGACTGATTTGTTTGAAGAGGTGATGGATCTCCTGCTGCCCGACCAGAGCCGACACGACACTCACTTCCAGCGACTCCAGAGTCTGGCGATTGTCTTCAAACAGTTGTCCAATTCGTGACGTGTCTTGAGTCGAGTACTTGATGTACAGATGTCTAAGTCTATGGCTAACTAACACACACTTTGTGGCGTCGAAAGCGATGGACACATCCATCAGATGCTTGATATCAATGGACACAAGTCTCGGACACGATCTCAACACTTGTTGATTGGCCTTATTGTTCGTATTGAACGATATTTGCCTCAGATTTGGCCCAAATCGGTGACAAAACTCGTCGACAGTGGCCGCCGATAGGTCACCGAAGTCTGTCTCAAAGCTATTCAATCGGTTCCAGTGGCGGCCAATCGCGGCAAACACTCGCTCTTTGTTGTCCACGGATTCGCGCACTTCGACGGCCGTAACGTACGGACACTTACGGCCGATGGTGTCCATCGCCCTCAGGTCCGCCTCTTTCATGTATTTCCTCGGGTTAAACACTTTGCCAATACTTTGGCCGACGATCACCCGCCGGATCCGATTGAAGATCACTCGCTGCCACTGTTTGGCAACGGATTCGTAGGAAAACTTGTCGCTAATCTCTAAATACGTTAACAATAATTCGCATAAATCGTCGCCAAATCTGTCAAAACTATTTTTGCTGTAGATTTTAGGCATAATTTTATGTGTATTTCGTGTCTAAAAGTAATTTTACGCTAAATTTATCGCTAATTATAACGAGTTTTAAAAGTTTGCAAACTTTTTATATGCAATGAATTTAGTGCTAAAATATATGCATTTATGCGTGTATTTAGTGTTAAGTCACGATAAAAATACACTATTTTTATGACAAATCATGTAATTTCATGTTTACTTAGATTTATTTGCATTCAAAGCGATTATCAACAAAATTACAATTAAATAAATAAATAAATTTCATCACAAAGTAATCGTTAATTGAAATACAATACCCACGCATAGGGCCGATACTTAAGCAAACAAACTGTATCTGTTTGCATAGGGAATGGGGGGCAATCAGTACAGCCACCCAATCAAAGCCCATTACATAACAACTACAGGTACAGTGTGTACGGCATTTGGCGCTCAAAAAAACACTATTAATACTACAGTAGTATTCAATACACACTGTATTGCAGTCTCTGTTATACAACACTCTGTTATAAAGGCTTTTGTTTAGTGAATAAAAAACTTTTTAATTCAGTTTTTAATTGTTTTTAATTTAGTTTTTAAACTCTTTTAACGCTTTGTTTGACAACTATTTTTGTCTTTGCATTGCATAACAGCTGTTGAGAGACATCTCTATTGACAAACAGTAAGTCTATTGCAAAACACAAACACATTATTGCAAAGCCTTTTAGCGCTAAAAATCATGTTTTTGTTAAGTATTTTGTAATTAAATTTATTTAGTAATTAGTATTTAATTAATTGTTAACTAATTATAAGTATTATATAAATGAGTTGTCAATCAATTTGTGGCCAAAAATCACTATAAAAATGTCATTCAATAGACTTTACATACGTTTACACAGCGTTTGTGTCCGCAATAAACGGCCCAAAAGTTACCGCCGATTGTGTCCACTCGCTGTCCACCGACTCATCACCGCTGGCAACACATCCCACGCCTACTCCACAACCTCTTCATCATCGCTTCCACTACTCATACGACAGATAATGAGCACCGCTTCCACCTCTTCATCGATGTCCACCACATCCACGCCATCGTCTTCGGCCTCATCGACACCACCGCTGTCGCCATCGCCGACGCCCTCCCCGTCGCCAACACCGGTGGCCACCAAACAGTACACAACGATCGCCATCGAGGGTAACATCGGGTCCGGAAAGACCACATTCCTGCGCCATTTGCAGGACTTCAGCGCCGACACCAAACAGCAGATCCAGTGTTTTGCCGAACCCATCGACGAGTGGCGCGACGTCCGGGGCGTCAATCTGTTCCAACTGTTGGCCGAAGACATCGACCGGTGGTGTTTCCCATTCCAGTCGTACGTGCAGTTGTCGATGTTGGCGATGCACCAGCGCGTGCCCACCCGTCCCGACGTGACCATCAAACTCATGGAGCGATCCCTGCATTCGGCCCGATATTGTTTTGTCGAGAATCTGTTCCGTCGCCGCCATCTCCGCCCCGAAGAGTACGCCATTCTGGACGAGTGGTTCCAGTATATCGTGCGCGAAGAGCACGGCGTTGGACTCGATTTGATTATATACCTGCGAACGGATCCGGAGGTGGCCTTCGAGCGGATTCGCAAACGCGATCGCGTGGAGGAGAAGGGACTGACCATCGATTATCTCCGCGATTTGCATGATCTGCACGAACAGTGGCTGTTGGGTAAGGGCTCGCAGTTCGCCCGACCGGCGCCCGTCATTGTCATCGACGCCAACCAGCCGTTGGTGGACGTGAAGCGGGCCTACGATCGCCATTCGGTCGACATCTTGAATGGCAGTGCTTTCAAACCCGTCCACAATGTCTGCACACAGTACTGAAGATACTGTTCCGATGGATGGCCAGTGAAAGTCGATTACCGTTTACTTAAATGTGTTTTTTTACTGTCATTTATAAATTTATAGTCAATTTACTTGTCTTACGATTTGTTTAAATCTTATGATTTTTTTCCTATGATTTTTGAGTCAATATTTTTTAATATTATTCTTATATTTAAATTAAAC